TCTCTCTCTCTCTCTCTCTCTCTCTCTCTCGCTCTCTCTCTCTCTCTTTCCCCTCCCCGTCTCTCCCCGTCTCTCTCTATCTCCCTCTCTCTCTCTCTCTCTCTCTCTCGCTCTCTCTCTCTCTCTTTCCCCTCCCCGTCTCTCCCCGTCTCTCTCTATCTCCCTCTCTCTCTCTCTCTCTCTCTCTCGCTCTCTTTCTCTCTCTCTCTCTTACTATTTTCTTCTCTCATCCTCTCTCCCTCGCTTTAACGTGCCTTCTTTCTCTCTCGTTTTCTCGCTGGCTTTCCTACTCCCTATTTCTCTCTCGCTTTTTCGATCGCTTTCTCCCTCCCTCTTTCTTTCTCGTTTTGTCACACGCTTTCTCTCGCCCCATTCCCCTCTTATCTCTACCTCTTCCAATACCCTTTTCTCATTCTCCTCCTCTTTTTCCCTCACTCTCTCTCTTTCTTTCTCCTTTTCTCCTTCTCCTCTCTTCCTCGCTCTTTCTTCCCTTCTTCCCTCTCCGTGGGCCCGGTGCTCCATCCCAAAATATGCAGGGCCGACGCGCGCGCACGATGCTTGTGGTTTTTGACCCGCCGTTTGTAAACACGTACCACATGTTAAAACAAACGTTATTTTCCCCAGGAAGAGTAGCGTGGAGGCTGACAGCGGCCGTACAGAGGCCCCTGCCATGCCCCGACCATATGCTACCTGTTGATAGGCCCGCGTAAACAGTGCGTAGCGGTGGCAGGCGCGAGAGAGCTACTAGCTGTAGCCAGGCTCGCTGGCTGGCTGGCTTCCCGGCCCGCGGGCGACACGTTGTCATGAATTGACATCGTTTACCCAACAGAGTTCACAGCCAGAACTCTCTGCGCCGCTCGCGTAGCTCTGCCAGGTTTCGATGCGCGGCCGTCGGTGTAAACGACTATAGAGTATAGAGTATTAAACGTTGCTACAATTGTGGGGATGGAGCGAGGTGTATATCGATTATATCAGGGGTTAATATTGACATTTGCTGATATATGAGCTGGGTGTTCTGGCAATGGTAACATAATTAATGGTAAGCAGATAATGATGATCAAATAACAATAATCAAATCAAAATTATCAGATAATAAGATCTGATGATTTAGAAAGTTAATCGGACATCCGGCCAATCTCCCCCCCCCCATCCCATTTCATTTGTCGAATTCGATTAATCTTACCGAAACCAGAGCATCTTTGGTCTGTTGTTGGACTATGGACGTTGCGACAGTAGCGATTCCCCTTCTCGATTTTATTTTGCTAAATGCATTTTGCATTTCTGGAGGCCAGGTCGCCAAGCTGTACCGCCATGAGAGCATCGGCAACTCTGTGAGTATCGTCATCACGAGGCTTGTGCTGCTAACCGAGGACCAGGTAAGAATTCTCATTAGTCTCCGCTTACTAATAGTGTCACCCAAATCTCAGGCTACGATTTATCCGTAGCTGGTGGAGTGACATTGGCTCAATAGTACTTCTAGACTAACCACGGGTTAATTTTTGTTATTGTTTATTTTAGTCATTGCTAGTTTTGGTTTGCTCACCAACAGTTCTTTTAGTACTATACATGATCTAGCAATAGCTAATTGCACATGGGACATGGGTGGTTAAACCCCTGGAATCTCGCTAAATTAATTTCCCCCAGAAACGATGGCAAGTTGATGGTGGGTGAGCGCGGTATGCCGGGGTTTCACTCATAAAATTAGTGTTGGTATATCGTAAAGTGACATGCTCCATAAATATTACGTTACGTTAACATTCGTTAAACATCTTTTTGGGAAAAAAAACATGATCGTAATTGGAACGCCGGCATGATTCCTATATCGAACGAACTTGACATTGAACTAAAATAACCCTATTATCTTCTCAGAGGGGTAGTACAGATCATTCACAAATGTCCGCTAGCGGGATCGGTGTTGTGCAATTTTCTCCATTTCGTGTCAGGATGTTTGTGCTTCTTTTCATTCGGTCTCTACGGATCTTCCCCAACTGTTTCCGGACCTTACCTCTTTCCGCTCCCTCTCTCGCAGGTTCCAGACTAGCGTTGCACTGATGGTGTTAGTGTGTGTTTTCCGCACCGTGCGTCCTATTCCCCACCCCTCCAGCGTTGCCCGTAGTTGTTGTTTGGTCTTTAAAATTTTCATTTAATCTTTTATTAAAATGTTTCTGATCCCAGATCTAGCACAACTTATAGATAAAACATCGGCATTTATAATCTTGTCAAACGATGAATCTTTGTTCTGATATATATAGATCCTGATAGTTCATGATATATGTATCCTGAGTATGATCATGCAGCATTCTAATGATAATGAGTCATCAAATAAATCAACGCGATGATTAAGGACGATGAGCGGAAGCTGTGACTCAGGAAGCGTACGTGGGAGCTGAGACAATGCGTATATCGCATAACTTCTTTACAGTGAACTCCCTGGAATTCACGCTAGGTTGTTATTCACGTTAGTTGTTGTTTGTCATGCGCGTCTGTTGTCTCTCATACTTCCTGTTGTTTGAGAGTAGTGTAAATTATCCCATCCGCCTAGAGGGATTGACAGGTTGCTCTTACGAGTCAGTGTTTCACTCGGGGTATTCTAAAAATGCGGCTTAGTAACGAAGTGTCTATGTGATTCTTATATATGCCAAACATATATAATATAGCATCAAGAATGACATAATATGGATTAATTATTATTAATATTTATTTATATATTTAATTATTATCTTAATATAATATCAGGTGCGTGATATAATATATATAACAGATATATATAACATATATATATAACATATATATATATATATATATATATATATATATAACATATAATACACATCCGCGATACGATTTCACTCACTATTGATATGTAGACGTAGCATTGAAGCCGGTGTGTTGGAATGTTGCAGCCTGATCTGTCGATCTCTCACCATGCTGACCGCTCTCTGGACAGCTTCTGTAGGTGGCAGAGCACGATCAATCCGGCCGTAGGATCTAAGAGGAAGGAGGACCAGGGCCTAGCCCATCACGACAACGCTGTGCTTATCACCAGGTGTGTATCACGCACGCACGCACGCACGCACACACACACGCGCACGCACGCACGCACGTACACACACACGCACGCACGCACGCACGCACGCATTCATATATACACGTGTACACATACACGCATGCACCCCCATACACACTCACGCATGTACGCTCGTACACACGTAAGTACGCACGAATGATCGAACGAACGTTCGAACAGTAGAGAAATTGTGACGTGTGAACTCAGGGGGAATCTAACCATTGCGCGCATATTAGTAACATTGCGGCGAGAATAATATTGTTACGCGCATCGGGGAATTCATCATTTTTCAATGTGTGTGATAGCTTCACATGTTTCACATGTTCCTCTTCCCCGGGTTAGCATCCATTGAACATAAGTTGTAGCTAACCGAATATATTAGCCACCCTCTCGATGAATCAATGCTGTGCATTACATATTGTATTAACCGAGTATTAAGTATTAGGTGGTATTAAGTAGTTTTTAGCTTGATACGTTAACGGTAGCTGTGTAATTGTATACTCACGCAAAGATCATATTTACATACATGGCTTGCAGCTTCTGATTAGAACAAATACGTTACTAAATCCCACTCGACGAATAAACAACGTTACACATCCAATATGCTTTTGGATGTTGACTCGTGTTTTATTTAGTGTGACTCGTATTGCTAGCGGGTCAAAAAAACGAACAAATCCTAAATAAACGGCGGAAAATACCCCTGAACATCACTCGTATATCTAGCGAGTGAAAAAAGTAACAAATCACAAATAGGCGGTGGAAACTGCCTCGGTCTATGCAGTCTACTCGATTTACGTATTAATTATTTTGTTGGCATATACGCGACACGAGAAGAAGTACTTGAGCGCGCAAAAAGAGAGCAACACCGTGTTTTCTAAACCTTTCCCGGCTGACGCCGCGGGCTTGGATTTTAATTCGGGAGCGAAATTTATTATTAGAAATCTCGCGTGAATAAAACAATATTTATTTAATCTCGCGTACTTAACAAAAATTGTTAGTACAGTGCGGGTAACACATTACATGTGGAGCAATTTATAGCCGGTGCTATGTGGTGACTCAAACTAGAAACTCGGAGCGCGCGTGCGTGCATAGTTCCTGCGCGTAGCAATAGTTCCAACCGTACGGCTCACTCGAAGCTGCTCTCGGCTCAACAGTCAAATCGACCAACGTTTCACTTAAAAAGCGCCGAAATATTTGTGCGCCGCAACATTCTGGCGCTAATTTGCATGAATTAATTTGCGTTTATGCGCTATATCTATAAGCAGGGCGGAAATCTGGAGCGGGAGCTCGCGCGTAGTAATTTACGCGCACGCCATATACACATGTGCAAGCAACTAAGATGTACACTTGAGTCTGAATATATTATCCGTGTTGATCTTTGATGTAAATGAGTTCAACATGTATGCTGCGAACTGCCGCTACGCCGCGCAGCGTGCTGATTCAACGTGAAGCCTAACTTAATAGAGCGAGGGGGAGATGGGAGAAAGACGGGAGATTGATGGGAAGAAATAGTGGAAGTTGGGGAGAAAAAAGAAGGAAAAAGAAAGAGGAAGAGATAAAAAAGAAGAAGGATATACTGGGGAAAGAGAAGAGATCATGCGGGAGAGAGAGCGCAAATGCGAGAAGACGAGAGAAGGGAGCGTGGGAGAGAAAGGGGACAGGAAGAACGAATAAAAGACGAATGAGTGACGGAAAGAGCGAGAAAGAAAGAGAAGGGTCGGGCGATGCGGTCGGTCAGGGAGATGCGGAGGTGAGAGGGGAGGAGAGCGGAGGAGAGGTAAGTGGGAGTGAATTTAAATGTTGTATAACAGACTTAGGTTGTATAGTAAGAAGATTGGAAGGTCAGTGAGCAACATACTCGCTGTATTTGCTATTACATACTGTGTTCGGCATAGTGCCTGCATGTGTTAGCGCCCCGTTAGACGTTTCGTTCACATAAATAATGCAATATATACAAATACAAAACAACAATACAAAATAAAATCAATACAATACAAAACAGCACAACACACTACAATGTAATACAATACAATACAATACAATACAATACAATACAATACAATACAATACAATACAATGACAATACAAGCAATGGCAATAACAATTCAAAACAATAAATACAATAACAATACAATACAATACAATACAATACAATACAATACAATACAATACAATACAATACAATACAATACAATAGAGCAAACAAAAAATACAAATTCTTTAAATAACATCGGAACAGGGAAGAACATGTGGAGAGTGAGTGACTGGTAAAGAAGGGCAGAACGTTTCTTTATTTACTAAATATAATTAGAAGTAGATAATAAGGAACTATATCCCTATTATCTACTTCTGATATAATGTTAATTCAAGCGAAGAATGGAACGCGTGCACGCACTCGTGAATTCACCTACGAGTGAGCGAAGCGCGAATCACTTACTAGAGCAATCCGCGCCGACGCTTTTTGTACCGCCATAACGTCGTGGAGGTCCGTGCGTAGGCTTCACGCATGCTGTAACAGTTGTATACTACATAACAACTTTATGAAGGGGGAAATGGTGGTGGTGGCTGAACGCTTAGCGAGCGTGAATCACGTAGTCTTCGACATACGTCGTTTTCATGTGCGGTGCGGAATGGTTAGTTTCCCTTGACGCGGCAGTCTGCAGTGAGCATAATAGGTTCGGTTCTTTGCGCGAACATTTGAGATCGCATTTTATTGCATTCGTGTCGTCGTCTTCGTTCGAGTACGTTAAATGCGGCCCATGTGCGTGCGTGCGTGCGTGTGCGCGTGCGTGTGTGCGTGCGTGTATGCGGGTGTGTGTGCGTGTGTGTGCGTGTGTGTGCGCGCGTGCGTGCGTGCGTGCGTGCGTGTGTGTGCGCGTGCGCGTGCGTGCGTGCGTGCGTGCGTGCATGTTGTGTTGTGTGTGTGCGTGCATGCGTGCGTGTGGGCGCGTGCGTGCGTGCGTGCGTGCGTGCGTGTTGTGTTGTGTGTGTGCGCGCATGCGTGCGTGTGCGTGCGTGCGTGCGTGTGTATAGACGTTTTTCGGCATCGCCGACGTCATTGTCCGCCTGACAGCGTGACTCACCGCAGCGACGGCGCCCCCTGCCGCCGAGTGCGGACCAGCTTACGCATAGCGACTATCATGGTAGACATCCCCCGATGGCAAACGCACCCCCTCCCCACCCACCTTAGGCAATGGGGCCACACAGCCATTTCACGTTGGCAATAAAGGTCGAATCCCCATGTGTAATGCGACATGCGCCTTGTATTGCTAGACATGCCCATGCCCCTGCGTAATATATAAAGAGGTGTTTGCCACCACTGCGGGGAGGTCTGCCATGCTACAGCGGCGGCCACCGAGTGTTCACTACGTCATGGCAAGGGCAGGGCACCGAGAGCATTGCCACAAAGTTCCTAATTTGTTTTACGCGATATGAAAATAAACCACTCTCGCTTTTTACTCGCACACGCTCGCGCGCGCGCTCGTGTATATATTGGTCTATATATATATATTGGCCTTAGCAGTCCTTCAATATTACTGTATACTCAAATAATGTTTAAGCGTTACTATGTTACTTAGCGTACTTAAGTAATGTTTTAGAATTATTGTATACTTAAGAAGTACATGAGTATCACAGTATTATTCTGGTGAATTGTCTGAAAGTATTAGCTGTAAGCGTGTGTCTGTGTATGCGCGCCCGTGCGTGCGTTCGTACGTGCGTACGTACCCGCGCGCGCATGCGTGTATCGTTCTCACGCACTCGTCACAATCGTGTGTTGTTATGTTGCAGATATGACATATGCACCTATAAGAATCGACCGTGCGGCACCCTCGGTATGTATTACGTACTTGTTGCTCGCGCACGTCAAAAATAAATTCTGATCGCTAACCAAGTTTCGCAATGAACGCATGTGGCATCTGACACGTACGGGACCACATACATCGTTCGCTACAACGAGGGGTCTACGCGAAAAGTCAACGCCATTAATCTTTCTGCACATGTCAGCTAATTTTATGGTTGTCGGTCAGAAAAATGGCGGAACGACGTTGACGGAGCAGGATAAAAAAATGACTCGGCGATGATTCATGATATATATATAAATGTTTGCGCATCAAGAATAGATCAAGACTAGACGTAGACTAGACAAGGCTTGTTGTATACTAGTCTAGACTAGGCTAGACTAGACTTAAATAGAGTAGGCTAGATTAGACTAGACAAGACAAGACTAAACTAGACTAGATTAGACTAGACAAGACAAGACTAAACTAGGCTAGAATAGACTAAATTATACTAGAATTGATTAATTGGTCTAGTCTAGTCTAGTCTAGTCTAGTCTAGTCTAGTCTAGTCTAGTCTAGTCTAGTCTAGTCTAGTCTAGTCTAGTCTAGTCTAGTCTAGTCTAGTCTATTCTAGTCTAGTCTAGTCTAGTCTAGTCTAGTCTAGTCTAGTCTAGTCTAGTCTAGTCTAGTCTATAGTCTAGTCTAGTCTAGTCTATTCTAGTATAGTCTGGACTAAACTAAACAAGGCGCACACGTCGAAGTAAGCATTTCTAAATTCAATGAACGCCGAATTTCAACTCGTTTTTTTCGACTTCCCTTGCGCCACCGCGTCTCAGCGAATTAGACACTGCAATCATTGTGCGCTCACGACATCAATCCTGCAAACACGCTGAAGTCTCACGCAATGCGAACATTCCCCTGGCGTGAAAGAATTTTCCGTGTGGAAGGCGACTACTGATGCCGATCGAGACGAAACCCCGTACATTTCTATATCTCCCCCTTCTGTTTTTGTAGATTCAAAACCGAAAGTTGTATTTTCATAAGCGTGCGTCAACGATTGGCAAACGTTACTCATCTATTACGCAACAACCGCCCCTGTATCGCACAACTCAACTGGAGCGTGGGCCCCGAGATTTAAAAAAAACTCCGCACGGCAAAAAATCGTTGCCACCCGCCGCTGTATTTCCCATAAAATTCAAGCCCGCCAGAAAAGCGAAGCGAAAAAGTAGTCGTGCTGCGCGCGTGCCAAGTCGGCAAGGCGACTGACATCAGGTCGGCGAAATACGATGGCGTATAGCGTTTACGATAGCGAGATGCGACACTTGCCGACCTTGTTAACTACTGCCGACTGACTGTAAGCGCAGCGGGGTCGCTATGTCTCCCTGACGGGTGCACGGAGACAGTAGTAGTGGATGCCTCCACACCATGTGCTCGGTCTCTGTTGCTGGACGGCTATATACACCGGCCCTCGTGCGGGCGCGTATAGTGTCTTAAAACGTGTGTCTCATTAACGGTTCGCCTACAGTCAGACATGTATGTAACTGTCACTAAGTTGGGGGGGGGGGACCCTCCAAATGTGTGCTTTATATACAGGTGTCCGTTATACGGAGGTTGAATCCCCGAGTAGCTGTCACTCAACGGAAACGTCATAATAAGAGGCGGAAAGTGTCCCTAATAGAATCAATTTAATAGAAGTGGCATCGCTGCAGAGCTTTCACCCTGCCATCTGCATCTAAACCAAGTGGTCCTTAACCTTTTTGAGTCATGGACCCTTTTGAGAATCTGGTGAAAGCTACGGCGGACCCTTCCCCAGAAAAATGCACATAAGCATATAAACACAAAATTTTCATGCGACTGATTCACGGACCCCCTGAAGCCCACCTGGAACACATGTTAAGAACCCCTGATTTATATACTGTAACTATTATACTACTACTACTAGTCTACTACTACTACTACTACTACTACTACTTTACTATTATTATTTTTTACTATTATTATTCACTCTTGATTATATCCTATCTGTATTATTTACGCTACTGTGTGTGTGTGTTCGCCTGCACTAGGGTTGGCGCCGGTGGCCGGCATGTGTGAGCCAGACAGGAGCTGCAGCATCAGTGAGGACATCGGGCTCGCGAGTGCGTTCACCATCGCGCACGAGATCGGACACAAGTAAGATGCGATTTCTACGACGAATCGGAGAGCGCATGCGCGCATTGTCACGTTGCATGGCGTGCATAGTATAGTGGTGATGTAGCTGATAGGGTTTACATGCGACTCATCGTGTAATGTCAATACCAACGGAGAAAAATGTGTGCGTGTGTGCGTGCGTTCGTGCGTGCGTCTTTTTTTCTCTCTCTTTCTCTCTCTCTCTCTCTCTCTTTCTCTCTCTCTCTCTCTTTCTCTCTGTGCGTGTGTGTGTATGCATTTATGCATGTATGTGAGTGTGTGTGTGTGTGTGTGTGTGTGTGTGTGTGTGTGTGTG